CATACCAGACCTTTGATCAGAAAACTGTTTCTCTGCCACACAGAGCAAAGTCATCCTGAGCATAATGTCACAGCTGTGGTTATTCCCATAATGTTGATAGTTTAGTTTTAAAGGGTTTGAGCTATTTTAACCCTTTATTGACCGGCCCTTCAAATTTACCTGTAAAATGGGCCCATGGTCAATAAAGGGTTAAGTTGTGTCTTTAGAAAATCAATTTAAAGATACATTTAAAGATATAAATGTACATTTCTTATGAGTCTTGTCTTTTTCTTTATTCCACAGAACAAAACAAATCACTACATTTCATTGACAATAAAAAAAAGTGGCGTGAGGCTCAGAGCTACTGCAGAGAGCACCACACAGACCTGGCCAGTGGAGCAGAACAGTTAAAGGAAGCAGTCAGTAAATTTAACAGTTCTTATAAAACACGATCATGGATCGGCCTGTTCAGAGACACCTGGAGGTGGTCAGATGGGAGTAATTATTCTTACAGACACTGGAGAGATGTTGGTGAGTTACCTGAAGAGCTGTTTGAAACTGACAGCGGCACCAGGAAATGTGCAATGACTGAATTAAACAAAGAAGGAAAATGGAAAGCTGATGATTGTAACACCAGAAAATCTTTCTTCTGCTACGGTGATGGTGAGATTTACAAAGATTCATTTTTCACATCTGGTTTCTGTCAGTTTTCTTACTGAGGAATAAATGTTAAAGCTAAACTAATCTTTCTTCTCTCACTGAAAAAGTGTACATGAAGGGCTGGTATATGTTTCATCATCAAGCTTAATAATGCAAGCTGTTATGAAGATAGAGCTACACCCCAGACACATAATGCAGCCTCCCTATAGGAACCTTATAAGAACCAGAGGTCATATTAGTTTATAATAATACTGGTTTCTGAATTCTCCAGTTTTTTTCCCCCTATTTTTAAAGGCTCACTCATACATGAAATATTTTAGGTAATAGGACTTTAATAAAGCAAATTAGGAAAAGTTAAAATTCTAAATTGGAAAAACTTACACCAGGAAAGTAAAAAATATGTCCAACTCTTATTATTACTCTTCTGCTATGATGATGGTGAGATTTGCAAAAATGCATCTTTCACATCTGGTATCTGTCATGTTTCTTACTCAAGGAATCCATATTCAAACTAAACTAATCTTTCTTATTCTTATTAAAAAAGAAGTCATCATCAAAGCGAAATAATGCAAGCTTTTATGGAGATGAAGGTATACCCCAGACGCTTAATGCAGACTTCTTTTGTAAGGAACTTAAGACACATTAGTCACATTA